AAAGGGGTTGAGAAAGTTGTTGTAAGATTCGCTGAAAATGTATCTCATCATGCAAATGAGAATTCAACCTTGTTGCCTAACACAACAGTGTTAATTCCTTGGTCGGTGACGGTAAAAGGTTTTAGAAGATTTAGAAAAGGTGTCCCTAAGATCACCTTTTGTTGCATGTCACGTACTAGGATAAAAGGAGTTTTGAATTCAACATTTTGATGACAAATTAAAGCATTCGAAAGTTTATATTGTATTTGAAGAGGTTGAGAGTTAGCGGTAGATAGACGCTCGAGGGTCTTTTCATAGCACTTAGTCGGAATTAATCCTTCTTGGATGCAGTTCATGTCTGCTCTTGTATCAAGAAGGGCCACTGTGCTTAAAGTAAAATCAGAAGAAGCCTGAATATTAATGATAACATACCATTTTTGGGTAGTAATGGTAGATAAAAAACATAGAAAATCGTCATTAGTTAGCATTTCCTTTGTTTCTAAACTGTTGGTTGCGTGAGGAGTTTCATCGAAAAAGTTGTCGGGGCTAGATGTTGATGGCTCTTCTAAAGGTTTGAGAGCTATTAAAGTTTGTAATATTTCATGATCACTATTTTGTAACTGTCGTAATTGTTGAATTTCTTTCTTAACAATATCCAATTCCTTTTGGAAGTCAGGAAGAGAAGGATTGTGGGAATCGTTATTACTATGTCGAGAAAGGATATCTTTGACACTATACGTCCAACCTTGATGAAAGGAATTGGTAGGTGGAATAGTCACAGGAGGTTTCTTCATGTGCTCATGAAGCTTTTTGAAATATTTTTCTTTGAGATGAGGATTATCAATATTATTGATTAGATCTAAAATAAGATCTTGATCTTTGGTTAAAACATTGATAGAAGATTCAGAACTTTCATAGATGTCATCAAATTGTAAGGCTTGAAGATTCTCATCAACACCAGAAGAAGAAGAAGAATCCTCATGAGAAGAGTAGTGTTGGAGAAAAAGATTAATGAGTTTGTCATGAATCTCTTCATCAAGATTAAGCTCATTGAGCTTCTTTTTTATACGACAATATTTTGAAATATGACCTGTTTTTCCACAACGAAAACAAGTAATGATTTTTATTTTCATTGTTAGATCGTGGTCCCTTATCTGGGCGGGGATTCCTAGAAAAATTGGATTTTTGATTCGTGGTTTTAAAAGATCGGTAGGGACGATCGCGATGTTTTTTATGAGGTTTGGTGCTACAATCCTCACAGTTAGATTTGGAAGAAATTTTTGAATAAGATTCATGAAACTGAGCACAAAAAGTTCCTAATTCTTTTCGAGTTAGTTTTTGTTCGCGTTTGATTTGTTTTGAAGTTTTAAATCATGGCAAATTTGTAATCCTTCTTTTTGTATAAAGCTAATAAGTTCTCCGTAAGTAAGTTGCTCATAAGGAATTTGACCATTAAAAGTGTCTTGGATTTTGTTTCGGATTTTATCTCCTAAGAAACGGGGTAAACCGGCTAAAAACTTCTCTTCCCAAAATGGTTGATTTCCATCTTCTCTTTGCATAACCCTAGTTAAAAAGGTATCTTTGTACCATCGGAAGTCATGAAACTTTTTACAACGAAGATTAGAAAGTAGTTCGGCATTTTTATTCTTAAGATGTGAAGGATCTCCAATAAAATGTTTTGAAATGGCAAAAATCAGAGATGCAACTGCATCTTGAGAAGATTGATTGTTGGAGTCTAAAATAGGAGTTCCAGAAGAATCACATTTGACAGCTGTAAAAATAGTTATCTGGTCTTCCGCGGTTAAGATATTATCCCACCAACCCTTTAATTGACCAGCAAAACCGGCTATAAGTAGTTCAGCTATAGCGTAATCAAAAGTTTGATTTTGAGTTTTGTAAGCATTAGCTACCATGGTCATTTGTTGAAGAAGGTTCAAAATTTGATATTCTGAAAATCCATCAAGATTCCATTCATAAATAGAATTGGAGTTGTATTTATTTTGGATAATAGTGGGTTGCTCTTTGAGAGCTAAATCAGGTGCAGTGGGACGTGGGTAATCCATCTTAGATGCAGCGACGATTGATTTCTGTTTCAATATGACCTTCTAGGTCTTTAATTACTTCGGCTGAGTCATCGACGATTTGATACTCGTTGCTCATGGATCTTGAGTCAGAAATATAAGGAGTCTTAGAAGTGGATAGTTGTGTAGAATGTTGTTTAAGACGTTTTTCTATTTCAAGTTTAAATTCAAGACTAGATTCTTTAGAAACTTCAAAAGGTTTGAAAATGGGGGAATTAAGTTTGTTGGAGGAGGAATAGGAGTATTTGAAGTAGACGCAAAAGACACAGGTAAACTGATTTCAACATTAGTAAGTTGATCTCCTAAGGTCTGAAGAAATCGGTTTGTATAATTGTTTTTTTCAATCAGACGTCGAATATCTTCTCCTTTGACATGGTCACTATTTTCTCGTTTTAATTTAAAAGGAGAGGCTTGAACTGCTGTTCCAAAATAAGAAAAATTAACAGGAGCATTAGGGGGGGTGAATAGATTGGATTTTAGAGTTATTAGTAGTTAACCAAGTCATAGGCTTGGTTTGAACATTTATCGAAGATTGAGAAAAGACTTGCTCGAACCAATTAAAGAAAGAATGGTGTTCTCGTATATTAGTGAGATAATCATAGAATGGTGTTCTCGCGTTTAAAACGGTTTCGTTGGGAATAGAAATCATGGCGAAGAAATTCTTTGTTATTTTGAACTCTTGTGTAATGACATCAAGAGCAGAAGGATTTCTTCTTCAGGAAATGCAGCTTGTGAGGCAGTAGGAGACATATTTGGTGTTCTCGAGGTATTTATATTTGGAAAAAGAGTTGTGGGAGGTGGTGGAGTATAAACTGGCTGAGGTATGTTGTTGGAGTTGTTGATTCCTCGTAGATCATAGTTGAGTGTAGAGGAGGTATGTCGAGTGGGTGTAGGTATGGGAGAAAGATTTCTACAAGATTGGCTTCTAAGAAAAGTATTGATGCGTTGTCGAGCATCTTCTGTCAATTCAAGGTCTATATCAGAAAGGCTAGAGATGGAGTTTCTAGCAAAAGAGATGTTAACAGTACCATCAAGATGTTGAGTAATTTGATTAACCTGACGATGGTCGATGCTTCTGGGAATGGTAGCCACTTCAAGGGTCCATTCTGTAGGAAGAGTAACTTCTCCCCATTTGATAGTTTTGGGAGTAACATTGTTCGTACGAGTTAAATCAGTTTGCGAAAGTATAGTTTCTCCTTTTGTACCATATTGAAGAGTTTTAGAAGAGAAAGCAGATTTCATAGCTTTATAGTGTAAGCGGTAAACCAAAGAGATAGGTAAAGATCCTTGTTGGATTTTATAGTTGAAAGTTTTTATTTGTAGGGTTAAAACATCTAAAATATTTTTGTAATGAAGAGAGACAGTAAAGTTTGGAAAACAATTGAAGTAAATTGGGCCATTACAAAGACTTGATTCAACAGTTCCAAGTAAAGAGTCATTAAACTCAAGAAACCGACAATCTCGTAAAACCATTAAAATAGCAGTATTAAGGCCTTCTTTGGATAGATGCTTAATCCCTACTTGAACTAACCCAATATGGATATGGTTGTACTTCTTTTTGTGTTGTTGAATAGAATTTTCAGACAAAAGTTTGATAGTTTCATAATCATTGAAAAGATGAATATCTCTTTCTTCGGTTTTGATGGTATAATCCATTTTATTGAGGAAGTTAAATTTGCTTTGCTCATAAATTTCCTTTTGGGCAATCCTATGAATTTGTCAATTATTAATTTCTTTACTAACAGTTTCAAAATTAATTTCTTCTTGGTTGATCACACGGTTCCCGGTGATGTCAGAATTAGAGGAAGAAGAGGAAGGTCTAAAAATCGAACTCATGACTAGAGGAAAGAAGGTAAACAAAGGCTGGATCTAACTTATAGGTGAGATAGATTAACGGCCAAAGACGGTCTTACAACTCTCTCACAAAGGACTCGCTAGGATCTAACCATGGGGTACCCATCTCTCAACTATTAATAAGCAAGAAGTTTTAGACAAACCCTTTCCCCCCAGGCTCTGATACCAAATATGACAAAATGGGTATCTAATATGAAAAAATTGCATTGTCAGAATAGGTCGATCGAATTTGTTGTAGTGAACACATGCTAGGACCTGAAATATGACAAAGCAAGCACACCCTAGCGTAAAATAGGTCGAGAGTCAATGAAATGCAAAGTCAAACTATCAAGAAATGAGGAGTAAATGTGTGCATTTAGACCCGAATCACACGTATTAGCAATTTTCATAGCTAAAAATGTTCTCACACTTCCTTCTCAATAAATATTGAAACGATGGATACCAAGAGTAGTGGTGCAGTTCTGGAAGAAGAATGCGGTTATCAATACTGGATGGTACCCACGAGTCCTCAACTTCTAAGTATCACAATTTCTGCGAGGAGGCAATCAAATATGTGGAAGAAGGGGCGAAATCTATTCATGTCTAAAAGGTAGCAATGAATGCATTGCAAGAGGCTGCCAAGAAGATTTTTGCTGTGAAGAGTGGTGTACCTCCAGGTGGTCAAGATCAGATGCCGGCAACAGGAAAAAGTGGATCAGCAGCAGCATTCCAATCAGTGGTTAGCTCCTCTTACTATAGAACTTTAGCAATTGAGGTGCAAGACCACTTTTAACCTTTCATCTAGCGTATGCCACTACTTGGTCTTTTTCATTCTCTAAGATGTTTTAGGCAAGGCTTATTGCACTAAAGTAGGACTATATTGTTGGTCTTGTGGGCTCTTACTTGAAACACGTGTCGTTAGATGGAACTCTGCTGTTTGATTGTTTAAACTGAATATGCGGTGAAGAGATTGTAAGGGGCATTGCTGCTTTGAATTTGTTTTGGGTTTCTAAGACTACTAAGTTTTGCGCTATCAACCCAGAGCTGTTTATTTTTTGTTCTTTTTTCCTGATGACGGGTATATGCCTCTTTTAGTGCTTACCAAGGATGATAAGGAAAAAGAAGATTCAGGAGCTGCCGATCGAATTAAAGAAGACTAACAAAAAAGGCGAAGTATATCGAACGAACTTGCTAGCCGCGTTGAGAGAGATGGAAGAACAGAAAATGAAGTTGTCGGTGAAGGTCCAAAATGCAAGGTTAAGTATGAAAGAATGAATGGCGCTACCTGTTCGGCAATGGTAATTCATTAAGCCAACGAGATAAGCTATGGACGAGCAATTGAGAGTTTTGCTTGGTCGTAGTCAAGCCACTTATCAGTACGGCTGCTGAGTGCAACTTTAAGTGTAGGTTTACTTTCATTTTCGTTTCTTGCAAGATGTCTTTACTAAACAGTCGGTTGAACCTGGTCCGGTCAAAGTCGAGCTTTGAAATGATTTTCAGAAAGCCATTTTCTAACTGTTGGAGAGACTGAAGGGGAGAGGCGGAGGGGAGGGGGAGAAACGAAGAAGAAGAAGAGTGAGAGAAGGAAATGGTGGGTGGGTCATGGGGGTTAGGTAGGTTTTTATTTGGGTAAATACAATTTAATATCCAAACCTTTCATTTTAAACAATATAATAGCCAAACCTTTTCGAAAACAATCTAATATCCAAATCGTCAACTTTCCGTTCGTTTGACCGTTAATTGACACTTCAAAAAAGTTCGAAGTACGAGGCTTCATCAATATCCATCGATATCTTCTCTGAAAAACCACCAACATATCGTGGTTCCAAACCCGAGAAGTCCATGACTCCACCATGATGGTATAGAATATCTAAATAATCCGTCATCTGCAATGCCAAAACAAGAAAACAAAGTTGTATTGTGACAATTTCCTCTAAACAAAGCTTTTTTGAAGTGTCAAATAACGGTCAAACGGACGAAAAGTTGACGATTTGGATATTAGATTATTTTCGAAAAGGTTTGGCTATTATATTGTTTAAAATGAAAGGTTTGGATATTAAATTGTATTTACCCTTTTTATTTTTATAGTCGTTGAGTTCTAATAGATACATGTAAGGTAAATTTCATTTAAGCCATTAAAATTTTAAATTATTTGTTTATTTGTATATCTATTTAGAAAATGAATAAAATGGTTCAAACATATAGAACCCCGATCAGACCATTGAACCTCAAACCACTTGATTAAGTGGTTCAACGACTTAAACCGGTTGAAAACCTTCGTTTTCTATGATTGTAACAAACAAATTTCAAATTAAACAAAGCTACCGTTTCTTGAGAAACAAAACCTAAAAACATGAACATGATCACCTATTTAGCTTAAACTTTTGGTGAGGTCTGAAACTAAAACCTTAATGATGGTAGGTTGTTTGAAATCTAAGTAAAGAAAAATTGAATGATATAACTCACTAATAAAAATGATAAAGCTCAAAATATGATAGAGTAAAAGTATCAAATATGAAACGGGAAACATTATTTATTTTACTATAGAAGAAGTTAAATAGATATAAAATTTATAATGACTTTTTGATATAAAATCTCAGGTATAAATTAAATGTTTTTGTGTTTGAAATAAAAAGGTCTCTCCATTCTTTTCAGCTCAAACTTAAAAACCTTAATTGCAAGAATGGTCACTGGGTTTACTAAAACCGTTCATGTTTGGTCACTGCAAATATTTAATTCCATTCATGGTCACTAAGATTAGTTCAATAGTTCAAGTTTGGTCACTCTCCGTTAGTCTCCGTTAGTTTTTGCTGATGTGGCAGTCAACTATTATAGTTGACCGTTAAATGAGTGATGTGGCCAATAAAAAAATAATAAATAATAATTTTTTTAAAATATTTACAATTTCCACCTCATTTTACAACTATTAAAAAATAAAAATAAAAATAAAACTTACCTCCCCTACTTCACCACCGTCACCTTCATCCCTCACCGTTAGAATTGGCAGAGCTCCTCTGGCGAACTCCCTCTCCTGATCAAACAGAGACTCCAGCTTCCCTCTCCTGTCCACCTTCGGTTTCGACTGCACCGGAGCCGCCGGCGGTGCAACTTTCCGGCGAAGAGGCCTCCGAGGCAGGTGCAGGATTCGTGGAGTCGGCGGTGGCTATGCGTATTTCCACTTCGACCTTCTCGTCGTCAACGTGGTTATCATCGAAGGTCTCTCCATTCTTTTCAGCTCAAACTTAAAAACAGAGTATCTGGAGGAGAGAAGAAGAGCAGTGAAGAACAGAGCACATATGGGGATAAGAAGAACAAGTAGCGGGTATCTAATTTCTTTCTGGGTTTGAAATCAGAGAGAAATGTGAAGGAAGAATTGGGAATAAGGACAAAGGAAGGAAGGAAGAGGGGGATTTTTTTTTGCAGAGAGTTTGTTGGGTACAGAGGAGAGAGCTGTTGTTGTGGCTGGTGGAGCGAGGATTGAATCAGTGAGTAAAAAAAAAATGTTTTTCTCCTTTCCTTTTTTGTTTGAAAGGGAAGTGAGACCGTGCGTCAGAGGAGGTACCCACTTCACTTTCCCCTCTCTGATTCGAAAAAATTCACAAGGGGAAATGGGCTTAGGTGAAAACAGAACATCCAAGCGTAGAAGTTCATCCTTCCCAGCAAGGAGCCAGCGAGGAGTATGACGGTGATCGCAGCGAACGCGAACTGGTAGAAGACGTAGTCCGCCATGGGCACCCATCCGATTTTGGACTGGCGGAGGAGGTAGGTTTTGGTGGCGGAGAAGGCTGGGTTGGCGACCAGGTGAGGGTTCTTCCTCAGGGTACCAAAGGCCATGTGATGAGCCCACAGGACCCAGCAGAGAAGCACGGCGGCGAAAGCGTCGAGGGCCAAACTTGAACTATTGAACTAATTTTAGTGATCATGAATGGAATTAAATATTTGCAGTGACCAAACATGAACGGTTTTAGTAAACCCAGTGACCATCCTTACAATTAACCCGAAATAAAAATGAGTACATTTTCACTAGTAAATTTTTAATTGATTCGGGCCTAAATGTATACTTTTTATTCCCGTCTCTTTGGCATTTGTGGCATTTGAGCTACAAAAAGGCTGGTATTACGCTAGGTTTGCTATTGTTTCAATGTGTTTCATAGTCCAACAGGTGGAACCAACCCCGGAGTTGAAGGAGGAGGTAGAAGCCGTAGTTCACGGTCAACAGGACCGTGAACTGGAGCCACAAACCGCAAACTGGTGACGTTCCAGAAATTTCTATAGGTTACTGACGCCGAAGCAGTTCACGGTCATAAATCCGTGAGATGAAGCCATGGACCGCGAACCAGTTAAGTGAAGCGGCGCGTTTTGGACTGAGTTCACTGTCCCCGGCATTAGCTCACGGCCGTGAACTGGGCGCAACCTATGTATAAAAGGAGAGCTGAAAGGAGGAAGAAGGGGGATCCCAAAGTGAGAGAAACCGTCTTCTTCTTGAAAACCTAGAGAGAGAAAACCACGAACCAAGAGGGAGAAGAGGCTAGGGTTTGCTCCAAGTCAAGATTTAGGAAGTTCATCTTCAAGAGAGGATGTCTACAAGTACAATGAAGGATTGAGGCATCACAATGATGGTTTTTTCCTTTTTCTTTTGTGTTCTTCCTTTTTCTAGCGTGGAGTAGTCTCCTTTTCACTTGGGTGTTGTAGAACCCTAACTTCTACCATGTAGTTGATTATGTGGATTGAATGATTATGTGTGGGTGGTGTTTAATATAAGATTTGAGGTATTTTTCATGGTGATTGTGCATTGTGTGTGCTTGGCAATCTATTGTACTATTCTAACCTCGCTTAGAGGGAAACCCCCTTATCTTAAGAGGCTCAAATTGAGCTGGGTTTTCTTGGGCATTCCATGCCTCTTATCTAGGTTAATGCAGGGCAAACCTCTAACTCAAATTGAACACCTAGGTTGATTGTGATTAAGACGTTCAAACCCCGGTTTGAGGGAGAAGGTAAGTCAACCCTCAATCGCTTGGGCCAAGAGGGCTACAATTGTAGCCTATAATGCATTCATTGGCCTAGCAATTGAGAGTGTGGTTTCTAACCATTTTTGCTCCTCCTAGCAGTTCACAATCGCCTTGTCGCACACCTATTCATTCGATCCCACGATTAATGGTAGTTTGTTAGGGGGAAACAACTACCGAGTGAAGCTTCTCACCAAGAGTTTCAATCCTTTTACTTTTCAAGTCTTGCTTCTTATCATAGATTGTACAGATTTTCACAACCAACGTTCCGCTAGATAATGTTTCAAACAATCGAAGTAGGGGTACATGGTCGGCTCGGGTTGATATTTAAACATACTTGCCCAATATTGCACCCATTTAAGGTTTATACTTGGGCTTTAGGTGGGATTTAAGTGTGATATTCGGGTTGCGTCAAGTTTTTGGCGCCGTTGCCGGGGATCTTCGGTCCGTTATTTGAAAAGATTGTTTGGTGTTAATGTAGCTTTTACTTTGAGTTTTGATTGTGTGAAGTGTTGCTTGTGCTAGACGTGTTGTGGTTCTTTTAAGTGTGTATAGGGAGATGTATGACCCGGAGTAATCAGACACCTTTAACACCACTAGACGAGAATCACGACCGCACTATTAGACTCTTGGCTCGTGAGAGGGAGCTAGCGGAAGCAAGAAGGAGGATTGAAGAGAAGGGACATCAAGTTGGTCCCAGATTTGGAGGATTTGAAGTAGAAATTGAAGTTGAGATGGCAGGGAATCAACAACGAGGTGCTAATCCGCTTCAAAACCAAAATGAGGAAGCCGGAGCTGTGGAAGAACCAAAGACTATGGGCTATTACATTGCCCCACAGGCAGCGGATATCCAATCTCCCATCCTACATCCACCCGTGGCCGCCAACAACTTTGAAATCAAGCCCGCTCTAGTCACGATGATTCAAAACAACGCCTTATTTCATGGGCTTGACAATGAATCACCGTGGGAGCATGTTCAAAGGTTTTTTGAGCTTGCGGGAAGCTTGAAGATAATGCTATTCCCCTACTCTCTTCCGGGGAAGGCGCTCCATCACCTCTTGGGACGATTTTCTCAACAAATTTATGACCCAATATTGTCCTCCTTCCAAGACGGAGAAAGAAGATTACTCACTTCGAGCAAGAGGAAGATGAGACATTGAGGGATGCATGGGAAAGATTCTCGGATTGCTTCCTCCAATGCCTTCACCATGGATTCGAGGAGCAATCGAATAGAGACCTTCTATGGAGGTCTCATTCAAGATGACAAGA